TGTGTGTGTGTGTGTGTGTGTGTGTGTGTGTGTGTGTGTGTGTGTGTGTGTGTGTGTGTGTGTGTGTGTGTGTATGTGTGTGTGTGTGTATGCAAGCCTACTGGTACCACCTGATGTATGATATAAGGTAGCACCTGGCAATGGCCACGACTAACGTCATCAGAGCACGTGGTCCATAGTATTTCTCTCGTTAGTAGATGCATCGATGCAAAGATGTGATAACTAAACTTTTAATCCGGCTCGAAACATTGCGGGTGAGTTACGAAGCCTTGCCTGTTTCCGTTCTCGTACGCTGTGCCTGCACAGTCCGGTCTGGTCCACACGTTGAACTCATAGTCAGGCTCATTGTCATCATTCTGCGCGCTAGTCTGCAATAAATGATAAACGACGTTTCCCAACGTGCTTGCATGATCGAGACGCACTACCCGTGCACCTGCCTGCGAGCCTCTATGTACCCGAGTTCTCTGGTACAGCATTCTCGAATACACGTTGCAATATTACGCGTGCAATAAAAGTGGGAGATAGTTCTTGAATATCAATTTTTCATGATGGCCTTACCAGACTCCGATCCACTTGTTCGACTCTCCTGAGATTTCCGGAGTCGAACTTGGAGGTAAAGAAAAGTCCACCACAGTGCACCTCCATGCTGCGTCTATGCTGCGGGGACTTGAACGTGGATCTTAGCAGGTGTCCATATTTCTAGTACCAATATAGTTGGAGTTATTGTAATCTGCACATTTTATTTTAATGGTGTGAAACATGACATGACCCCAACATTGTTTAAATGTTGCAATACTCACAAACATTTAATGGCCAATGAAATGCACTGGTAGCAGAGTAGAAGCCACATAATTTTTGGTCACTACTTAGTACTTAAATTTTTTTTAGCAGAATAGGAAACTGACTTAAGTTCTGTGCAAACCTCCATGTAAGTGTTTACATAATTTTGCTGCTCAAGTGGAACATGCCTGTAGTTATGCGATACGTCCATGACGAACTTCAATTCTTAAGCCTCAGGTTTATCCATGACTTACACATGTATGAAGCCAGTGGCTGCTCGTCCGAATGTATTACCAGCAAATCGTGAGATTGCATGTCAAAAACCATCTGTTGATAGATATATGAATTGATTTATGTGTGCTACATACTCGGATGTCTCACAGGCAGAATGTGGGTACACCCAACAATCTTTATGATTTATCTGAAACGTAATATAAGCCGAATTCTAGAATATTTGTAGATCTATAAAATTCTGACTGGTCACTGGACGAGCAGACACGGCTGTAGATTCCAGCGAGTCAGTATGTCACTATCTTAGTATCTTAGCTTAGCTATCTCTAGTATACCGTATTTCCTCGAACGAGCGCCCAGGCCCTTATTGTTTTAAACTGTCTCATTGCCCCGGCCCTTTTTCGAGGCAGGCCCTTTTTCGAGGTCCGGCGCTCATATAAATGTATGCCTTATTTCAAGTACAAGTACATTTTTATCAGTCAAAATCTAATAGAAATCTCTAAATCTTCCGAGGTAAACATATTTTCGTTTGAAATTTCATTCAACTTCCCCACAAAACATGTCGTAAATTACATTGTGATTTCGCGCATTGTGTCTGAGCGCATTGTGTTCACTCTGGTTCAGAGATCAGAAATTATGCATGTGCTTGTTGTCCATTGGCTGATGGTAGCGTGAGCAGAACATATTGGTGTCTACAATATCATTTCATGTGAACATATCACATCTCATGACCCGGCCCTCATTTATTTCGAGGGGGGCTTACCCCCGGCCCTATTTCGAGGCAGGCCCTCTTACGAGCCCAGGCGCTCGTTCGAGGAAATACGGTAAGTACTGTAGCTCTAGTACTATAGCCCGCGTTCATTAACTGCTGCAGGACTATAGAACATTGGCAGCTTGATTTCGCTAAGTACTGCATTTGGTCCCGATTGGTTCCACTGAAAAATGGCTCAGAAAACGCAAAATGATCGGGCTTTTTAACATTTATTTATCTACATGGACATCTCACCTATCTTTTTGAACACTTAATTTCCACAACTTTACACCATGTATTTATGCCTTTAATAGCTTTATTCCTCACAAGTCAGCACTACTGGCTGTACCATTTGAAATATTGTGGCGTGCGAACGCGTGACGTCACCGGATATGTAGGCAAACACATGGCATCTATGGTGCATGTATATACAATACCGGTAACGTCACGCGTTTGCACGCCACAATATTTCAAATTCAAATGGTACAGCCAGTAGTGCTGACTTGTGAGGAATAAAGATATTAAAGGCATAAATACATGGTGTAAAGTTGTGGAAATTAAGTGTTCAAAAAGATAGGTGAGATGTCCATGTAGATAAATAAATGTTAAAAAGCCCGATCATTTTGCGTTTTCTGAGCCATTTTCCGTGGAACCAATCGGGACCAAATGCAGTAGCGAAATCGAGCTGACAATGTTCTATAGACTAACTGCCTATTATTAGACTATTATAGACTAACTGCCTATAGATGAACTGCCCTGCGGCAGTTAATGAACGCGGGCAGCCTATAGTACTAGAGCTATAGTATAAGTATAACTACACTACCACTAGTGCTGATAGGGTCTATGTCCCCCAAGGTACTGCCGGAACGTAGCCTGGGTACGGTCCGGTATATCGGAACGTACCCTGGTAACTATCTGATATGACGGACCGTACCTCGCTTACTCCCTACCGTACCCTGACTGTCCCTGTTCCGCCCACTACTGATGTCGCAAAAAATTTGAAATATACATACAGACCTGTATGATATCTTTATAAAGTTGGATTGGAGTATGAAACTGTGAAACCAAGAAGAAATTTCAACCTATATACACTGATGCGCGCAATCCTTTTACAAATATCGCGATGATCGGGAATGCGTTTTCCTTTCGCAATGTTTACGACATTTTCGCGCATTTTCGCACGAGATTTTTGAAAGATGGCTCTAAGTGTTGTGGTGGAACAGGAAAATTTGTATGATTATCTTAATGGGTTGGAAACGCATAGACTCGCTGACACTTGTAGAAAGGGTCGGGAGGTGAAACGTAACAGGGTAAGGGTTACGAATATTTTGCGAGAACAAACCGGAAACAAGGAACGGGAGCATAAAGCGGCGCGTTTCCTGCCGACAAGCGGTATGTATTACGACATCAGCTGAAAGTCAGGGTACGGTTTGGAGTAGGCGAGGTACGGTCCGGCATATTAGATAGTTACCAGGGTACGTTCCGGTATACCGGACCGTACCTAGGGTACGTTCCGGCAGTACCCTGGGGGACATAGACCCTATCAGCACCACTAGTAGTAGTAGTATAAAGTATAAGTATAATATTAGTATTTTAGGCGCAAATCCACTTTAGGCACCTTAGGTATCACAAAGTGATGCACAGACTTTCCGTATATCAAGGAATGATGCAAAAACCCTAACCCTAAGTCATAGAGTATAACCTTAGGTATCACGAAGTGTGTTACTGTTAGGGTTAGGATTAGGGTTAGGGTTAGGGTTTTTGCATCATTCCTTGATATACGGAGTCTGTGCATCAGTTGTCAGTTGATGATACGCAGAAATACCTAAGGTGACTAAAGTGGATTTGCACCGTATTTTATTACTGTTAGTATTATTATATTACTTATTACTATTAGCTATTACTATTAGTATTACTAGTATTAGTAATAGTAATAGTAGGTATAGACTATAGTATTGCGATGTCGATGTACACTGTACAGTTCAATACAATAGTTTCCTAAAGATAGCATATGTCATGATTCATAAACCGTACGCAAATAAACCCACTTACATACCAGGCAAATATACATTTGTCATAGAACCTATGGCTTGCCGCATTAGTCAAGAATTCTGTGACAAATATTGAATAACATTGAATCTACATATTATCAAACTTCTGCATATTCTAAAATTTTTGCTTAGTGTTTACATATCAGCGCCCTCTACTGGCATCAAAGAGATGTTCACAACATTAATTCCAATCATTTATTATCGCGACAAACATAGAAAGATCATTTTTAATCAAAATTCAACTAGCAGCTACTTAAAATAGCACATATGAAATGTTTCCTAATCTATTATGGTTATACATAAACTAAGAGGTGTCGTCATCACTTTACGTCACAGATGTGTGTGAGGCCAATATTGTGTGCCACGCAAATGGCAAAACAAACACATTCTTATCGAAATTACGAATTCAAAAACATACGGATAACTGAAACGAGAAATTTTGATTAAATAATATATGTATGGATATGCTCAATCAGGAAGGAAAAAGCAGACGTGTTTTCCTTGTATCATAGCATCGCGATTCACGTAGGCCCCTAGATACAATAATGTAACCCAAACCCAAGAGGATAGGGGGATATCCTCTTGGGTTTGGGTTACATTGTTGTATCTAGTAGGCCCCCTACTAATCCAGTGCGCGTTATGATGTCAGGGGCTTGTACAGGATTTGTACCAGGGGGAGGGGGTCTAACCGTAACCCAAACTTGCGAGCACGCGAAGGGAATTTTTTTAAATTAGACCCCCTTAGATGCGTTTTCTGCGCGAGCAGGGGGGGGGGGTCGCGTCCTCGGACCCCCCCGTCCGTACCGACCGCCCCTGGATGTGGATAATGAATAATTAAACCGTTCGTTCATTAATACGTATACCCGGGTCGGAGCCTATGTGGGTGAGTGCGGGAGGGGAATTGTGGACTCAAAAAAGCCTGACGGAGGAAAAAAGAGAAGAACAATAACAAGAATACCCCACAGCGTGCACATAGAGGAGGGGATAGGTGCGGAACGAGGGTTTCCATCACGACTACTGATAATTTATACACATTGTATAGTAAATTATGCACACTTGAGTGTTATTTACATTTATTATGCTATTTACCATGCACACGTGCAATCGGCTGGCCCGATTCCACCTTGAACGTATGCCAAAAAACAAAAAAAAAAAAAGTGGAAAAAAAAAAAAAATAAAAATACAATCAAATAAATAGAGCAGCAACGGTGACGACGCGGAACGTGAGCGCTAGCTTCCTGTACAGTAATATAAGGCATAGCGGCGGAACCCAGGAGCGTTGATGCCTACGAGCAATGTGAAATATTGATAGATCCGACTTTTACGATGCACACGTGCTGTCAGCCCGACCGGCTCTACTTTGAACGGATAAGAACGGTCGAAGAATATTATCTTGGCAGTCAACGGCGACCGACGTTGCAGCGCCATTTGCCCATACATTAGCATAGCTGGAAATCGTGGCACGATGCTGCGAGCGAAGTGAAGCATGTAGATAAGATTTTACCATGCACACTTGCTCTCAGCTTGCCCGGCTCCACTTTGAACGTATAAGAACGGCCGAAGAATATTATCTTGGCAGTCAACGGCGACCGACGTTGCAGCGCCATTTGCCCATACATTAGCATAGCTGGGAATCGTGGCGCGATGCTGCGAGCGAAGTGAAGCATGTAGATAAGATTTTACCATGCACACGTGCTGTCAGCCTGCCCGGCTCTACTTTGAACGGATAAGAACGGTCGAAGAATATTATCTTGACAGTCAACGGCATATTTTGCAAAGATTATGCACTTAAAATGAAGAGGAGTCATCCTAGCATGGATTTACATGATAACATTCTATGAGTAGACATCCCTTAATAAATAGGAAGAAGACCTTGCATGTACGGTGACCACTGCATATACCAGACAGTACATAATCTGGCTACGGTAGTGTGTAGATGCATGCGCAATATTTTACCAGAGGAGTTATATTTTGTGATGAATATGCATTTAATATGGTTAGGGGATATCTCAGCATAGATTTTTGTAATTAATTGTTATCAGTACACCTGTTTTTATAATTAGGAGAGCGCCCTAGCCTGTAGGGTGCAAAACTGCCACGTCGCCCCTTCTCGTATTTCCCGTTGTTTCTCCTGTGCCTCGCTCAGCCTAATTCTTTTCCTACCGCCCCTCAGCTATCTTCCCTGACGCTTTTCCTCAGTCTCTTACCCCTCTCTCCCACCGCAAGCTATATTATGCAGTTTTCTTTAGTCGGTACTACACACCTGAAACGGTGCTCGCGCATGCGCAATATCTCCCGAGAAGAATCATATTTTGCAATGATTGTGCATTTAAAATGAAGAGGACTCATCCTAGCATGGATCTATATGATAACATTCTATCAGTAGACATCCATTAAAAAATAGGAAGAAGACGTTGCATGTACGGTGACCACTGCATATACCAGCCATGCAGTACATAATCTGGCTACGATAGTGTGTAGACGCATGCGCAATATCTTACCAGAGGAGTTATATTTTGTGATAAATATGCATTTAATATGGTTAGGGGTATTTCAGCATAGATTTTTGTAATGAATTGTTATCAGTACATCTGTGTTTATAATTAGGACAGGGCCCTCGCCTGTAGGGTGCAAAACTGCTACTTCACCCCCTCCCGTATTTCCCGTTGTCTCCCGTCCCTCGCTCAGCCTAATTCTTCTCCTACCGCCCCTCAGCTATCTTCCCTGCTGCTTTTCCTCAGTCTCTTATCCCTCTCTCCCACCGCAAGCTATATTATGCAGTTTTCTTTAGTCGGTACTACACGCCCGAAACGGTGCTCGCGCATGCGCAATATCTCCCGAGAAGAAGAATATTTTGCGAAAATTATACATTTAAAATAGAGAGGAGGTATTCTAGCATAGCTTTATATGATAACATTTTATCAGTAGACTTCACTTAAAGAATAGGAAGAAAACCTTGCATGCAAGGTCCCCGCTGCCTATATCAGCCAGTCCACAATCTGGTTACGTTAGTGTGTCAGTGCCAGCGCAATATCTGACCAGAGAAGTTATATTTTGTTATGAATATGCATTTAATAAGGTTAGCGAAGTCAACATCATGTAACAGTTGGCTATCGGTTTCACGGAAAACGGGTTTTTTATTATTGAAATAAAATACAAACAGGTTCTTAGTATCACGATAGGAAGACCTAAACACATCTTGATAGTGCACGCGCCTGCCTAGACCGTAACAACGACAACGTTCACCGCATGACGGTGTGTGAATTTGCACATACCGCGTATTATGTGTGATCATATGCTCAACTATTGTGCAATAAGTTTGATTTTTGGCTCCGAAACTCGGAACGCGATACCGTAAAACTATTTCACATCACGGCATAAATTGATTCATTCTAACGAACTACGCTTGCGCGAGTATTTTAGTTCTAAACGCCGTGCGTGTGGCGCGGCGACCGCCAAATAAGGGGTACGTTTTAGTGAACCGAGATAAATTTAAGCTCTTCGTCATTTCAAAATGTGAACCGCGACTGTCGCTAAGAGTTGGCATTTATAGCTCGATTTACAAGCGCATATACGCTCTTAAATTTCTCTACATCGATTAAATACGACACAACCATAACATCGGCTTAGTAACGACTGAAGATGGTTAAACATGAGCTATATACACCACCCATACCCCCGCCATCTCTACGATGTCCAGAGAGTATAGACTGACTCCAAAATTCCGCGTGGCTGAACCCAACGATGCGAACAACAGCGGCTGCGATTCTCAAACGACTTACGGTGTCAGTCTACTACCTTCAGCAAAACAACACAGCATCGGATAAATAAACGTAAACTAAGTAATCGTCAAAAATAAAGTAAACCGCGTAAAACAAATCCCGTTTACAACCGTACACGTCATCAAATGTCATCATCGCCACCAACAGCAGCAGACGTATAAACACCGTACATACAATAACTTAAGTATAACACACACACACACCCGCGCGCGTCGTCGTCGTCGGCGTCGTCGAAAAATGACTTAATTACAACCAGATTCGTCTGCTACGTAATACTATTATAGTCGCTCCGCAGATATCAGAGAGCGAAGACAAAAATCCCCGCGAAAAAACAACAACAACAGGAGGCAAAAAAGCTCTCGGCTCCCGCCGAAAGCAAGGTGTCGCTAACCAGACAATAACCCGATTATACGTCAACGCGAAAAACGCGGCTTACAATTGTAGCCGATAGATGGCAGCACTACACAACAACTGCAAACGTGCGCGCGTGTCAGCCAGCGGCTTACGTTAGTTAGTAGTAAACAGAATGTAGAACTCACTTCGCTATACAGTATAAACATATACGTTTGCTACAACACAAACAGCGACGCTTGCCTGAACCCCTCGCCAACGATCGCAAGCAGAGCGCCATCTGGCGGACCGGATTCGCCGGACGTCGGCCGCCGCGAGTGCGCGCGTCGCGGGGCAATCACGTGTTATTTACACTCATTGGGGCTCTCCCCGCATCTCGGCAGTCTCTCGCGAGCGTCAGTGAGAGGCGACGACCGAACGACACAACCTCATCGTAAGTCACCGATCATAGCGGCGGCTGCGACGACATCACCAAACGCCGCGGTGACGTCGCCTAAATCCGCGACGACGTCAGCGCACCGTGACGAAATCGGCGATGATGTCATCAGACTCCGCTGTGACGTCACCGAAATGCGCGACGACGTCACCGAACTTTGCTCTGGCACGTCCCGGCGTCCGAGGCGGCCTCGAACACACCGCTGCGGACCACGCGCTGGCCTCCTTCTCGACGCTCGTTTTGTTCGGGGGAGGGGGGGAAACGTTAGTTGCGGCAGCTTCCTTCCCGGTGCGTTGGTGGGAGCGCGCGCGGAGAGGAGGAGCAGACAGATGTGCACAGGCTGCGTGTGCACGTGCGCAGCGGATGGATGTGACATTGAGCAAACATGGCGTCTCCGTGTCGCGACCTCGCGAGGATTCGTCTCACCACCTCACCCATCGTTCACGCCGGTCGATTCATTTACAAGCATCCCGTCGCCGCGTCGGCGAACCTGCGATCGAGTCTCGTTCCTCGTCGCCGCCGCCGCGTAGGTACACACGCTCGTCCCGCTGGCGCACCACTCCTCACAGAAGCCCTACGATACGCCGCAGCCAAAGTCACGCGCAGCATCCCCGCATCGAAGCGGTCACCCCGGCAACGCATCCTCAGCATCCCCGCGAAGCCCTCCGCCACAGACGAAAACGAAGCATCCGTCGCCGCGCCGACGCCGACGCTCCCCGCCAGCATCCCTCAGCATCCTCGTCTTTGCGCGCGCAGACGCGGTGGGGAGGGAGCCGGATCCTCACCGCCAGTTGAAGTCGCGGCCGACCTGCTCGTAAAACTTGAGGTTGAACGGCCGGTAGTAGTCTTCGAGTTTCTGCAGCACGCGCGGGTTGATCGCCGGATGCTTGCGGCCCTTCGTGTCCGTGAGGCAGCGCTCGGTCGCGTCGTGCCGCAGGCAGAAGAAGCCCTTCGTCGCGTTGAAGTAGAAGTTGTCGGCGTGTATGAGCGGCTCGAGTCCGAGGAACGCCTCGATGCGCGTCAGCTCGGACGCCGGGTCGACGACGAGGCGGTCGCCGTCGACGACGTGCATCTGCGTGCGCGGGAACACGTCGAGCCAACGCTGCAGGTGCCGGTGGTAGACGCCGATGCGGATCGCCTTGTACGACGTGTTCACCTCGCCGTAGTCGTTGACGGCGTACGCCTCGAAGGTCGCGTGCGGCTTGCCCTTGGCGAGCCGGTTGGCGTGGATCTGCGCGTAGTCGGAGACGGCGCGGTCGACCGGGTCGCGCACGACGACGATGAGTCGCGTCGCGTTGTTCATCGCGCGCACGCGCTCCGGCACGCCGTCCGTGATGAAGTACGCCGGCGACTTCTCGACGGTCACCTGGCCCGGGAACGAGTACGGCATGCGCTTGCGGTACCACTCGAGACCGTACGCGTAGCGCTCGCTGTCGAAGAAGTGCACCTCGCCGTGCGCCGCCTGCACCTTCGGATGCATGTTCATGAACTCGAGGAGCGCGCGCGTGCCGCACTTGCGCACGCCGATGATGATGCAGGACGGCAGGCGGCGGTTCGTGCCGCGGAAGCGGATGCGCTCACGCATCTCGTCGATCGAGCCGAGCGTGGCGGCGCCGCCCGCGGCGGCGGTGGCGGCGGCGGGGCGGCACGCGCCGGCGTACGACTGCATCGCGCGCAGCGTCAGGAAGCAGCCGACGAAGAGGAGGAGGCCGAAGAGAGGCAGCAGCCGGGCCTTGCTGCAGCGGCCCCCAGGCTTCCCTGCTCCGCCGCCGCCGCACACCGCCGCCAGGATGCCGGCGCGGCCGGGCGTCGCCGCGTCGACAGGGGGCGCCTCTAGTAATGCGTCTTTCTGTGTCATGCTGCTACATCTGCGAAGAGAAGGAAGAAACGGGAGACGTTTAGTCATCAGGTCGTTAAACAATATGATGGGGACATTCCGGATAAAATCACAAAACATAGTTAGTTAGTTAGGTATATAATAATAATTTTCGGATGCCCTACTGGGCTACTGGCCTAGTGGGCTAGTGAAGAGATTCACAGTTTTCACTGGCGGGTGCCGCCGCATACAAGGCTCCCTTCTTGGCACCGTTTCCACACTCTATCTCTTTTTTTGCTGAGTACTAAGCAGAGAAGAAGTGTGTACCATTTTTCATGTCTTTAGTCAAGTTAGTTAGGTGAGCACGAGGATGGTGTTGCGAGCATTAATATTGTTTACGCGTGCGCATGCCATCATGATCAGAGGCAGTCTTGTTGAGGGTTGCCTGATGCCTGCCTACCACTTCACACGTTCTCCCTTAACGTTATCAATATCATTGCACATACACGCGAACACGCACGCACGCACGCACGCACGCAAACACATACACGCACGCACACACATACGCGCACACACACATACGCGCATGCACGCACGCACGCGCGCGCACACACACACGCACACACACACACACGCACGCACGCACACACACACACACACTCCCTCTCTCTCTCTTTCTCTCTCTCCCTCACACACACACACACACTCTCTCTCTCTCTCTTTCTCTCTCTCCCTCACACACACACACACATACACACGCACACCCCACACGCCATCATGGGCTGCGTCTATGCGTGCGGTTATTATAACTATCGATGATGCTGTCTCGTGTGTGTGCA